AGTTTCTTACAGCCCTTTTTATTTCAAACTTTACAGAGAGAGGCAGTAGAAACCAGACTCTTGGATAATGGCTTTGTCCTGAGTGAATCTCCACCCCCCTTTTCTCCCACTTCCTCGTTCATCATCTTCATCACCTTCTCTATGGGTGCTATTAAGTGCCTTCTGTCTTTGAGCTCTTTGCTCTCCTACTTTTAAGGCCTGCCGGGTTCTGGGAGATGGTGGGTCTGGAATGCTTTCTGGTGACAACATGTCAGCCAGCTGCTGCTCCAGCTCTGCCTGCTCCTCCTCTCCCATTATTTCCCAACTTTTCCCTCATCTTCCTCTGAGCTATGACCTCTTGCAAACCACTGTTGTAAATTTATATTGTCTTCGTCTTCCTCCTCCCTGGAAGGGTCAGGATGGGGAGGCATTCTCCACCACTGTTCCTCCTCTTCCCAGCACCAGACATCCACCGGAATAAAACAAAAGCCAAAAGATTAACTGAGGTGTTTGGTGATAACTATTATCCAAATTTCACTTTATCTTAGCAGACATAATAAATTCAGAAACATATTTGTTCTCTTCGAGAAAGCACTTTTATTTTCTTCCGTAACATCTGTGATTCATTATATATATATATATATATATATATATATATATATATATATATTCCTGATGATAAAGCAAGCTAGATTTTTTTTTTGATGCAGCACACAGCAGACGTAGCAAAACAAAGATGCTCACATATGCCACTCAAAGTTCTGTTATGCATACACTAGAATCTGTTCTTTTTGTACGTGCACAGGCAGATTTCAACAGCCCCGTGCATAGCTCATAACTGAAGCGCACAGAACCTCTGTAATTTTAAAATTCCAGCTCAACCTTTCAGACATCAACTCTTTTAAAGAAAATCAAAGTACCGTATTTTTCCATGTATAACATGCCCCTGTGTATAAGACACCCCCTATTTGGAGGGACTCCAAATTAAGAAAATGGGGGGAGATAGCCAATAGCTGTTAAGCTTTTTTTGGGGGGGTTGCCCAGAGTTGTTGAGCACCCAATCGGCAGCAGCCCTTGCCGCGGCAACAAATCACCTGCCCAATCGCCGCTGACAATGTCCTGCTCATGGCTGCAGCCAATTGTCCGTCCCATCTGCACTATCCGTGTATAAGACGACCCCCAATTTGTAACATTTTTTAAATTATACACGGAAAAATACAATATACTTCCTTTCAACTAGGACTCAGCAATCACATCATTCCCTAGCAGCCTAGACCCACAATATTCTGCTTTGTTGTTATTCAAAGCTCAGTGAAGAATAAGGTTGAAATGTCCCCCCAACTTCTACCTGCTAATTTCTGCCCAGTTTCAGCAGTGTATTTTATCTTCCTTTTTCTCAGACTCCATTGCTCTCTGCTCACCTTGTTTCCCACACTTCCATGACATTCACAATGTGGTCCTGTTTATTCTTCCCCCATCTTCTTCTCATTTTGATAGCACTGCCTCCTTTATCTACCCCAGGGGGTAGCCAACAAAATGCTCTCCAGATGTTGTTTGACTCCTGACTCAAATCAAGCCCATCCAGCATAGCCAATGGGCAGGGGTGATGGAAATTGGAGTCCACACCAGGAGGGCGTCACATTGTCTACCTCCCACAATCCATCTCTTCTCTGTAACCATCAGGATCACATTCCACCACACACACCCAAGGTCAAGGCTGTTGGTGCCCTTCACTGTTCAGCCTCACACCTGAGAGGCTGGGAGGAAGCCGCTGTTTTCTTCTCTAGATTTCCAACAGCTAACCATTGGAGGTGTTGCAACAGGCAATAAGAAGATGGGATTGGAAGACAAAGAAAGAAAAGCATTTATAGCCCTGACTCGCTGCAACCCAAAGACATTTCTTGGTGAATAGAATCATAGAATCATAGAGTTGGAAGAGACCACAAGGGCCATTGAGTCCAACCCCCTGCCAAGCAGGAAACACCATCAGAGCACTCCTGACATGTGGTTGTCAAGCCTCTGCTTAAAGACCTCCAAAGAAGGAGACGCCACCACACTCCCTGGCAGCAAATTCCACTGTCGAACAGCTCTGTCAGGAAGTTCTTCCTAATGTTTAGGTGGAATCTTCTTTCTTGTAGTTTGGATCCATTGCTCCGTGTCCGCTTCTCAGGAGCAGCAGAAAACAACCTTTCTCCCTCCTCTATGTGACATCCTTTTATATATTTGAACATGGCTATCATATCACCCCTTAACCTCCTCTTTATATCCATAAACAAATTCTTCTAACTGTTATTTTCCTGCAAAATAATAATAATATCAGATTATATTGTGTTTTCTCCCCAGTATTTCCAAATATGACACCAAATAAACAGAACTACCACTTCTTGGAAGAAGGAAACAAGACTTAAGGGAAAAGCTTGGCAGAGTTCTTGTCACAATTCCAACAGTTTTTAAGTGGGAAATAGATTATTTCGTAACCACTCTCACCTTCTAGAAAAGTTAGGGAGACATGATGTATTTTCGTTTGTGTTTAGGAGTACAATTCCTAGCAGCCTGGGTTCAGAAACAAACTCTTGCTTCCATATGCAAGCAAAGGAAAAACTGATAAGTGAGCAAATAAAAACTCATGATAGGGGAAGGAGAAAAGTGTTTTTTTTCCATGAAAATTAAAACTTAACCTTTGTATTAAGGAGCTCAGTGAGGCATATATGGTTGTCCATGTCTCCATATTATCATCACAGCAAACCTGTGAGGGAGATTAGGCTGAGGGCTAGTGACTTGTCCAGTGTCACCAAGTGAGCTTCATGGCCGAGTGGGATTTTGAACACTGGTCTCTCAAGTCAAACTCTGGTACTCTAACCACTCCACTTAGCAGTGTGACTGGAGCCAACATTGTTATCATTTGGGTGGCTAACCAAGGCTTATTTATTTATCCAGGCATTTAAAGAGTTTTACTGTTTTGACCTAGTCTACTATTTAATTGAACTCTGGTCCCCCAGGTCTTATTCCAATGCACTAACTACTATGTTACAGTGCCTCTCAGTGCCTCTATGTATCCAAAGCACCTTCTAGTTTGGCTGAGGGGGTGGACTCCTTCCAAACTCCAAATACCGGGTAATCATTTTAGGTGCTAAGCATGAAAGGAAAATCTTGATAACACTCCATGATATTTTCCCTTGTATAATCTTTCATTGCAAATCCACCTAGAGTGATATCCCATCATTTCTTGCGTCTACTGTTAGAAAATGATGCTAATTAATGGACAATCAGTGTATAAAATATTTCTTTGACCATGTGGATTAAGGCACCTAGAATGGAAGAAATTGTGAGACTGGGTGTACATTCTTAGTGTGGGATGAACGTGCAATGAGAGAAGGAAGAAATATTGCATGATTTGCCATTGACTGAACCATTCATGTAGAGAAGCAATATCAGAGTTTCAGAAATGTTGCTGTCCCTTTGGAACTGATGCTGATGTGAATTTTGCACTCCTTGCATTCTTCTCATGAGACGTCCACTTTCAAATAAACAACATCAAACAAAGCCACCATTAAAAGTCTAGAATAGACGCCTCTAAAAAGAAGCTGGTCCTGTCAGCTTTCCTAAACACTTCCAATTTCTGGTAGGGGTAAAAGGAGCATGAAGCGACGTTCATGCATTTGGATCACTTCTAGAGAGCAAACTTCTGGCTCGGAGAAGCACCAGCTGCTGCCTAGGTGTGTTTTTCCACCCATGTTGATTATCTTATCTAAGGCAGCTTTCCTGGTAACCGTAAGCTTTTCACTCACAATCAGGTTGAGTTTAATTAAGGTAATTAAGGTAGTATGTAATAAATCTCTCCGTCAAATGAAAGCCTCCGTATTGTTCCGTGTCTGCAGCTTGTAAACACGAGCCTTTCTACTCTCTGCACATCAGCAGTTCTTAAGAGATGTAGCTGCCTTGGGCTTGGTCTGGAAGTTGCAGCCGGTGGATGATGTGGCAGAGATGAGGACACGTGACACCTTTTTTAGTGCCTGCACTCACTGCCCATCTGCTACCAAGCCAGGCTTGAGGGTCTTATTGCAATTTACAAAGCTCTAACCAACTTGGGTCCAGCGTACCTCAGGGACCACCTGAGCTCAGCTTATTGGTGAATGTTCAGTTTGCAGGTACCAGGAACACGGTCTTCTTAGTGGTGGTTCTACAGTAATAGGATTCTCTTCCCAGGGAGATCCGACAAATCCCCTCTTCCCACAGTTAGATGTTGGAAACCTTTTTCCCCTGCAAGGCATTTTATGCATGCTTTCAGCAGTTCTAATTGGCTATTTTGTGCTGGTTTAGTGTTGTGTTTACTGCTTTGTGTTTACAACTTTAGTGTTTATATATTAGTATATTTTATTTTATATGGGAGCTGCTTTGATAACTGTTGTTAAGAAGGATATAAATTACTTGAAATCAATAGGGAAAAAAATTAGAGGCAAGATGTGCAGAACATCTTGCAACAGATGTTTATATATCCCCCCCATGCATTCTTTCCACTTCTATAAATACTGATGTCTGTGGAGCCTTTGTAAATGCTAGTATAATAATTTATCACCATATGATAGTCATGCCTCATTCATATGCCATGCTGCATGTTCTCCTTTAAGCGTAAATGCCAGGCTTTGGGGTCTTGAAGGAAGAGTTGCAAAAGTGTGTTGTGTGTTCTGGTGGACTTACTTTTTCAGGACTGGCAGCCTGGAGACAGACAAGTACTGACAAGGCCAGGGATTGGACAAAAGATTCCTGCAGGGCAGAGGGTTGGACTAGAATTCTATGGGTCTATGGTTATGGGCATTCAGCTAACTTTTATTCAGACTAGACCCATTGGAATAAGACACCTAAGTTAGTTGTGTGGTCGGTGGGTCTATTCTGAGTAATAGCTTGCTGGATAAAACCCTGATGTTGTTGGACTCTCTTTGCCATAAGCCCTAGTCAGAAACCATAGAATCATAGAATTATAGACTTGGAAGGGACCCCCAATGCAGGAATCCTGCCCACAGTGGTTCCTGGGTGGGCTCGAACCACCAACCTTTTGGTTAACAGCCAGATGATCTGACCCATTGCACCACCAGTGATGGGAGTTAATTCAGAAAGGAAAGAGGCAGTTAGTGGTGGCTCATGGGAGATGGGGGCGGAGCCAGGGGCATATTCCCAGGGGTGGCGCTGCATGCATTGGGACTGGGTGAGGCAAAGCAGCAACAGCAAGGTGGGGGGGGGGCTGAGGTGGCAGCAGCACCGCAAGAGTGCGCACACAAGTCGGGCCACTACCACTAACCCAGATGTCCTCCAACTTCAAAACTGCCTCACCTGTAGAATGCAGAAATTAACAGTTAGGGAAATATCAGGAAAGCAGAATAAACAGTTGTGCGAATGCAGCCCAAGTTACAGACCACCATGCCTTTTCAAGAAGACTCAATTTATAGTGCTCTTCCAAGCACAAAGCAACCAATATGGAATATATATATTTATTTGTTGTGAACAACTTTGAGAACAATGATGGCGCACAAACCATTCTCACATTCCAAATGCATTTGCAACTGCAGTTGTATAGAACTCGAGCAACACAGAAACAAGAAGTTTGTCGTTTTCTTTTTCGGGAACTTTTTGAAAGCAAAACTAGTAAGGCAGACAAACTGAGGACAGTGGTACCTCGGGTTACAGATGCTTCAGGTTACAGACTCCGCTAACCCAGAAATAGTACCTTGGGTTAAGAACAGAAATTGCACTGCGGCGGTGTGGCAGCAGCGGGAGGCCCCATTAGCCAAAGTGGTGCTTCAGGTTTAGAACAGTTTCAGGTTAAGAACGGACCTCCAGAACGAATTAAGTTCTTAACCCGAGGTACCACTGTAGTTTATTTATTTTAAAGGAAAAAGAAGGGTGGAAACCAGTCTCTTCCCTCTTTAGGACACAGCCAGATTCATGCAGCGATACTGTGAAGCTGGTCCAAGTCAGGTTTATCATTGTTTCACATATACTTGAAAGCTTTCTTAAATAATCAGGAGGCAATAGCGAATTTGGCGTTTTGTCTGTCTTTGTTTCTCTTCTGTATTGACCCTTTCCCACCCTCCATGTTTGGGGAGCCTGAACTTTGAGTAATTATCATTCCAAATAATAATAAAAAAATCTGTCTCTTCAGAGTTGGGCCAAAACATGTTTTAGGCCAACCTATAATTTAAAAAATAAGGAAAACAGTTGAACGGGTCAGGAGGGCTCCTTTGTACTTTTAAATGTTATGTTGGTTTGGATATTGGCAGCATTAAGGTTTTCATATGTGACTCAGTGCCAGTTGATAGCCTGTAAGTTGGATCAGTTCTTAGCTGATTTGTGGGCCTATTTTCTTTCCACTGGGTCTTCTTAAACTTCTGGTTCTCATTTGAGATTTATATATATTATATACATGCACACTTGCCAGTTGTTGAATTTATCTCCTTTTCTTTGTTGTTAATGGATGTTGCATTTTATTAGGATTTTTAAGTTTATTGTCTCTTTTCTTCAGCCACATTTAATTTACATTTTCCCCCAGCCATTTTCAAAATACTGGTGCAAAAGAAATGGTTGTTGTCACTACCAATTCTATTTTCAATTTATACAGAGAGCCTGCGGTTCTTTTATTAATTGCTCTACCCATAGCCAAATCCTTATCTTTGCTCAAATAAACCTAATTGTATCAATAATCATAACAATCTTTGATGTGTTCACTACAAATGCCTTTTATGTTGATTAACCTAAAATTGTTGTGCCAGGAAGCAGAAAGTCATTTGGTAGTCTGTCAAAGAAGCTAACCTCAAAATATGGCTTCGTACAGATTTTTATATACAGAATGTAAACCAGCAACCATTTTGTAAATATGAGAAAGACTTGCATTCTGGTCATAAATGCATTTACTTGGAAGTAAGTCCCAATGGTGCCTACAAACTTTTACTAGAAAGTGTGTGCACTTAGGAGCTCGGTCAAAGGCAATCATTTATTTAACATATTTATATTTGTTATATTATATATTATATTAACATATTGATATATGGCCTTTCATAAAAATAATAATAATCTGGGGTTGTTTCACAACATAAATACATTTCCATAGACTGAACTATCGTAAACAGTAAATAGATCAACATCCATCGTAAGCCTGACAATACAATGGGCAGCAAGTGCCTGAGTGAACAAATGAGATTTCAGTGTGTCCCAAAAACTCACCAGAACTTTTCTTGCCTTATTTCAGAAGGAAAGTGATTCCATAAACCAGGTGCCACAATGGGAAAAGGCCCCCTATTTATGTATACGCTGTCGGATTTTCTTCTAGTAACACCCCATTGCAGACAAAACCATTTGACCACAAAAAAACATGGCAGCCAAATGTCAGCTTGTGGGACAATGGCCTAGGGGCTGTGGCTATAGGCTTTGAGAGGCCAAGGCTGGATCTACACTGACCTTTTTAACATTACAGTGGTACCTCGGGTTACATACGCTTCAGGTTACATACTCTTCAGGTTACAGACTCCACTAAGCCAGAAATAGTGCTTTAGGTTAAGAACTTTGCTACAGGATGAGAACAGAAATCGTGCAGCGGCAGCGGGAGGCCCCATTAGCTAAAGTGGTGCTTCAGGTTAAGAACAGTTTCATTTTTTTTTTTAAATATTTATTCAGATTTTAAGATTACAAAAAAAAGAAAAAGTAAAGCAAGAAAAACCAATCACGTACATCTTACAAAAGAAACACACAATACAAGAAAAAAATACACAAGACAAAAAATCACAATGAAAAATAACAAAAGAAAAATTCAAATTAAACCATTAGAACCGTTTTCCCATTTACTTATTTCCGTGACTTCCTCTCACTTCTCTGCTTTGTATTCTAATTCAGATTGTATCTCCAGCAAATCCTTCTAACCTTCTTTTCATTTGCTTATTTTAACATTTTAACATTCAAAAATATTTAATTCTCCTCTATCTTTTAATTTACACTTCATATTTACTTAATTCCATTATACTCTGTCTGCCAATACGGTCTAATATTTCTTCTCCAACCTTTTCTAACATTCTTTTATGTTACAGTGATTCTGAAGATATGTTTTAAACTTTTTCCAATCTTCTTCCATCGACCCTTCTTCTTGATCTCGAATTCTGCCGGTCATCTCAGCCAGTTCCATATAGTCTATCACTTTTCTCTGCCATTCTTCTCGGGTAGGCAATTCTTGTGTCTTCCAGTATTTCCCAATGAGTATTCTTGCTGCTGCTGTCGCATACATGAAAAAAGTTCTATCTTCCCTTCGCACCAATTGGCCGACCATGCCCAAGAGGAAGGCCTCTGGTTTCTTTAGAAAAGTATATTTCAATACCTTTTTAATTCATTATATATCATTTCCCAGAATGCCTTGATCTTTGGGCACGTCCACCAAAGGTGAAAAAAAGTACCTTCGTTTTCTTTACATTTCCAACATTTATTATCAGGCAAATGATAAATTTTTGCTAGCTTGACTGGGGTTAAGTACCACCTGTAAATCATTTTCATTATGTTTTCTCTTAAAGCATTGCAAGCCGTAAATTTCATACCTGTGGTCCATAACCGTTCCCAGTCAGCAAACATAATGTTATGCCCAACATCTTGCGCCCATTTAATCATAACAGATTTAACCATTTCATCCTGTGTATTCCATTTCAACAGCAGATTATACATTCTTGACAAATTTTTAGTTTTAGGTTCTAACAATTCCGTTTCCAGTTTAGATTTTTCCTCCTGGAAACCAATCTTTTGTCTAAGTTAAAAACCTCCCTTATTTGATAATAATGCAGCCAATCTCGAACTTTGGTTTTTAATTTGTCGAAACTCTGCAATTTTAATTTATCTCCAACTTGTTCTAAAATTTCACAATATTTTGGCCAGTTTGTCTCCATATTAGTTTTTTCAATGCCTTTGCCTCCATTGGTGACAGCCACCTTGGTGTTTTACTTTCCAACAAATCCTTGTATCTCACCCAAACATTAAACAATGCTTTCCTGACAATATGGTTCTTAAAGGCCTTATGCGCTTTAACTTTATCATACCATAGATATGCATGCCATCCAAAAACGTTATCAAAACCTTCTAGATCCAAAATGTCCACATTTTCAAGAAGTAGCCAATCTTTCAGCCAGCAAAAAGCGGCTGATTCATAGTAAAGTTTAAGATCTGGCAGGGCAAATCCCCTCTTTCCTTCGCATCTGTTAATATCTTAAATTTTATTCTAGGTTTTTGCCCTGCCAGATAAATTTGGAAATGTCTCTTTGCCACCTCTTGAAACAGTCCATTTTGTCCACAATTTGTAATGTTTGAAACAAAAACAACATTCTAGGCAGTACATTCATCTTTATCGCAGCAATTCGGCCAAGCAATGATAACTTCAATTTTGACCATATTTCTAGATCCTTCTTCACCTCTGACCAACATTTTTCATAATTATCTTTAAACAAATTCACATTTTTAGCAGTCATATTCACCCCTAAATATTTCACTTTGTTAACAATTGTTAATCCTGTCTCTTTCTGGAACCTCTCCTTCTCTATCTCTGTAAGATTTTTCTCTAATACCTTGGTTTTCATCTTGTTTAATTTAAAACCAGCTACTTGACCAAATTCTTGTATTAATTGTAGCACCCTTTTTGTGCTAGCTTCTGGCTCCTGTACTGTCAAAACTAAATCATCAGCGAAAGCTTTCCATTTGTACTGTTTAGCTCCGAGTTGTATACCTTTAACCAATTGGTCTTTTCTAATCATATTGAGCAGAACCTCGAGGACCGATATAAAAAGCAATGGGGAGATTGGGCAGCCCTGTCTTGTTCCTTTCTCTATCTTAAATTCTTCAGTAACTACATTGTTCACAATAAGCTTGGCTTTTTGTTCCGAATAAATTGCACTTATACCATTTTCGAAACTTTGGCCTACCCCCATCCCCTGCAAATTTTTCTTCATAAAACTCCAAGAAATATTATCAAATGCTTTCTCTGCATCAACAAATATTAAAACAGCTTTAATATTAATATTGACTTGCAATTTTTCCAAAATGTTAATGATGTTCCTAGTGTTGTCTGACAGATG